CGTTGCATTACCGGCAACAATGACAAAAAAAACATTGAAGAGAACAGCGAAACGTATGGATGAAACAGGCAAAAAAGCGCGGATCCTGGAAAATGCTATCAATAGTGTTGTAGAGCACAACCAACATCGGTCCATATTCCACTCTGCGGAACAACTGGCGCAGTCCGGCTAACTGTTGGTAACTACTGAGGACGGATTTCAAAGTGCTTTCGAATCTATTCTTATTGTATAGTAGTTTTTGACTCTTCTAAACACTAAAGGATTTAATCCTTACAAATATTGTGTGTGTGAACAGTCAGGTGTTATAAAACAATTAATCTCGTCTTGAAACCATTCAGTAACTGGGCCGCTCAGAATTGAACTTCAGATTTGCACTGGCCCAGATCCTACCGCAGTTGTGCAAACGCATACAATTGTAATGCTGATCTGATCTGCGTAGTTTAATAGCTCAAACCATCCTATTTCTTATCGTCCTTTTTTTGCTTTGTCCTTAAAATGGAAGCGCCGTTTTCTTCGCTTTTAGTTTCATCTTCTTACGTATACGTCATTCTTGGATTGCGTGAAATACTTATTTTCCGAGCGCAGCCATTAACCGGCGAATGCATCTTAGCTGGCTGACGAGTCAAAATGATTATTAATTCGCTAAATGCCTTGGCTTATTATAAATGTTTTCACTAGTGCTAGCACTTAGAAAAATTGATGAAATTCCATTTAGCACAGCAGTTCAAAGCTTATTGTATGACACACATGCAACAGACAAATAGGCCAGAGTAAAAGGATCTGACATAACTGCGTTTCACATGTCACTGCCTTTCGGAAACACAAGCATTTTGCTGATATTCCGAGCAGTCACAGTGATTTATGCTACAACGAACAGCAAAGTGCTGCAGAGGTGTACTGTGTTCACGTTGTGACCCTTAGCTTAAAATTTACTTGATAATGCTAGATCTGTATAAGCTGGCTTTTTAACAACGCTTGAGAAGAGGGTTACTGACTTTTGCTAGAGTGGCTGCCTGTAGTAGAAGACGCAATGATTAGCATCAAAGAGTTGACGCCATCCTCACAAATGAAATAAATAACTGCTCGCACCAGGATACTTGGACGTCATTACGCGTTTTCTGCCCACTCTGTCTAGCGGGCGTTTGCTGTAGAAGATTTTCACTGCTTTGCTGCTTGGTATGTGCAGAAATCGTCGAAATGTTCTTTTCGGCCAAAACTTACATTTTTCCGTTATTAGGTCCTCACGTGGTCTTTGACTGCAGCAGCGGAAGGCAGCGAAGAGTGCCAGCATTTTATTTCTCCAACAAGCTTCACTTCAAATAAATCGAGCCGGGGCACCGCACAAGCTACTGAGCAGAAAGGGGACACTAGTCGCGTCGAGGCAGCCAGTTGGTAGCGTCAGTTCGGGCAGGACGTGGCAGACCAGCGACGTGCGTTGAATCCGAGATTGAGAACCTGGGTTTTCAGAAGGGGTTTATATAGGGGAAATTAATGGAGGAAAAAAGAGAGCAAGGTAGTTAGTAAGTGAGAAGGTAGGTAATATAGAATTATTTAGAATTTAGTAGAATTGTTAGAAATTAGTGAGTAGAGGGAAGTAGGTCGAAGTGTTAAGGATTAGTGAGAGGAGGAAAATAGGTGGAATTATAGGGTTACACCGTAATTGAGACCTAGGAACAAATGGAAGCTGAGTCTAAAATTCCTAGAGTCACACATGGGCAAGAAAAATCCTCTTGACATTTCGGCTTTTTGTTTTGTCTGGTTCCGGAGTTAAGAAGTTTCTCGTCAATGTGCATACATTCATACGTGAAACATAAGCATATGTGGAGGCTAGATCTAAAACATTCCGTGTCGCACAGAGGCATATAACACCTTTACATTTTAGCTCCCTAGCTTTCCTGATTACCGAGTTAATACTTTTTCCGCCGAAATTTGACGTGCCCGCACATGAAAGCTGAATTTCAAATATTTGGGTTGCATAGATTAGCTGTTTTTCACATATATCACTGAACATGTCCTCTTCACACAACACACTGTTTTTTGGTACATGTTCAACACCATTATCTTCTTCACCTTATTATATTTCCCTCTCCCTTCCAATTTAATCAAATGGTTACCGGATTTAGTACCGACTCCGTCTTATGGACAGCCTAGCCAGAGACATCCAGTACCGGTTCAACCCTTACTTTTACTAATTCCTTCCGCCCACAGGGTAAACGGCCCGTGCGATCTTTTACTTACTTGCACATGGGCACTAAACACTCCTCTAAAATCTCAGCCTCCTAGCTTTTCCGGCTCCTTAATTAATGATTTCCGCGCCAGAACTTCCACGTGATCGTACGGGGACATAGACGTACATGAAGGCTGAATTTGCGGACGAACGTAGAGAGAAAACATTCTCTTAAATTTTCAGCATTCTAGCTTGTCTCGTTCCCGAGTTGAAAACTCATGACAAAATGCGCTCGGACAGATGCACACATACATACACACATACAAACACACACATGCACACATATATACACACACACGCGTACATGCAAATACGCACATACACACGTACTTACATACATCCACATAAATACACATAAACAAACACACACACACACACA